GGAAACATATTTATAAGGCTTGAATTTAAATTAAAAGACACAATGCTAAAGGAAGAAGCATTGCAATCACAAGCAGTGGGGTTGTGGTTGAGACTGTGGCTCTCTAGAGGAATAGAGGAAGGCCGCATGGTTCGATTAATTATCCACCCCAAGTAGTAGAGGGTAGATAAGGCACAAACCAATATACTCGTCATCATATGAATTCCTTTCATGAGATTATCTCTGACTAAACATGTCAATGAATCAATAATGGGGGATGCCCCGAAATTTAAATGATTCCAGAGAATTAAAATCTCAATGTTAATGAGAGTGTGTATAAGGCTTACACTTATACTGACGATATATTTATACGGTTGCTCAAAGGAGCATAGAGCACAATGATATCGAACCATATATAACACTACTAGAAAAATGTCTTACAGTGACACCAAATTAGTGTCACTGGAAGTTTCTTTGACACTAAAAAAGTGCCGCTGAAAGTGGGGGCTAGTGACACTACAAGAGACACTTTTTAAGTGTCATTACAAGTGTCACAGAATTGTGACACTACGATATCACAATATAGTGACACATTGGCAACATAGCTATTCGGCGACACTTTTACATCATATACTCTAGTGACACTGCGGTATCAAAATATTCTGTTTTCCATTCAAAAAAACATGATACTTTAGTGACACTTTCGTATCACTTTGTTTTAGCATTGCTTCCAGACCCCAATTCAATTATAATATAGAAATTCCATTTCAATTATATTTTAAAACTTCCAATTCAGTATAATTACTAATCTCATAAACGATAATCAAGTCAACAAATCTCAAAACATGGAGAAATAAATAATAATATTAATTTCAAACTCCAAACTACATTGTTGTTGAAAATTGCATTCTAGGCATGCAAAAACCAGTAATACTTTAGCCCTGCTGGACAAAATATGACAAAAAACCCAGTATGATCCAACACCAAATTGATCTAATCGTTGGTTAATAAAATTCTAAGCAACTACATAGTTTTGTCCAAAAAGTGAGCTGCCTAAACGTAGTACATATATACATATAGCAAAGTTTGTTGGAAACGTCAATAACAATTTATAACACATCGCCCAGCGCATCAATTCTTGATGGCAGCAGATTTCATCAACAGATCAACATTGCAAAATGACAGATACACCATATATAACTAACATGAAAAATAATCCAGCATCTATGTGATGGAAGAAAGATTACTCAAATTAAAGGAGGAATTCGAAAAATAAAGTAAGTAATATTGTATTCAAGGAAAAGATCACCTAAAATAAAGAGCTACCATAGTTACTTCATGTGATTGAACCCAATTCAAGGATGTATACTACTTTGATGAAAGGTTATGTGAAGGTGGGCCGAGTTACGGATACAATAAGAATGCTCCAAGTAATGAAGCATCATGAGGACATGGAAAGCCAACTTGACAATGTGACCTACATGACTGTATATCCATGAGATTGTTTCATAAAACATATATGAATGTATCATATTGAATATATATAACAAATATTTGAATTCCTCGTCTGAAAGTCAACATTAAATTATATATTAACGCACTTACAAAATATAAAATCTACGCAGGCATGTGGCTATTAGGCAGGCTGGGAATTTGACAAAACGAGAGCTTATCTGTGAAATTAAATAGCCAACCAAAATAACCTCCAATGTTTTGGAAGTAGTTAAGTGGGGCATAAATACAGACTGGGAAATGTATAGCTTATAATCCTTCTATGTTTTAGGACTTGGAGGTGGTCAAAAAGAGATAATTGTTCAATAAAATAGGAGAGAGAGAGGGAGAGAGAGAAACATTGCAAGGGGAATGAAGAGTTCAATAAAACAGGGGAGAGAAACATTGTTCAGCTAGTATTCTTAATAAATACTCTGTATTAGTTTAATTTGAATGGCAAAAGTTTAGTGATGGGTTAAATGCTTAAAAGTAGTTGAATTGGTAAAAGGCGTACCTGATACTCCCTCCGTCCCATAATTAACTTCGGTTTTGATTGAGCACGGGGATTAAGATAGTGAGATTTGTGTAGTGGAGAGTTGTGCAGAAGAGAGATAAATGTGTAAGAATGGTTGTGAACCACATATTCTTTACTAAAAAGGGAAACATGAGATAAATTTGGGATGGACCGAAAAGGAAAGAATGAAGATAGTTTCAAGACAGAGGGAGTATTTCTTTGGGCCCTTCTTTAGTAAATAGCCTGCAGTGTTAAGGGTATCCAGAAACGTATCAATATCTGGAACCCTCAAGCTTATGTTATCTGCCAAACTGTATAACTTCTGAAGAGGGGAATGAAGAGCATGTGAGGTATACTCCATGAAGCACAATTGATTTTTTTTTAATCGAAGGTTGATTTGGGAAACTAATAGTTGTGTGCAGAGGCTTACAGATATTGAAAAGCAATCCTTTTGCTTCACTTCAGACTGCCTATTTAATGCACCCAAAAATCTCTTCTTTGCAAGGTTGAGAGTGAAAGCATATTGGACTACTAGCTTCAAGAATCAAACTTGAGCGAAGCTTTGGAAAATTATACATAAAACAATTAGCAGCTGAATAATTCAGCAGATGGAACAGAATAATTTTTAGTTAGTAATTCTGAGTTGAACTCTCCAAGAGCTTCCAATTCCAAAGCATTTTTCAGTTTGCATTCCGATTTTGGCCAGTTCAGCTCTTCTATCATGCTAATGATATCAGATATTTCGCCAAATGCATCTTCAGTCATTAAACCAAACATCTTTGCACAACACCTCACAGAAAATATACGAGAATTGTAAAACAATCTCTTCTTCCCCTCAAGCTTGGACTTAGTCGATTGGATAAAATCTCCGGATAGCCTCAAATAGACCCTTGAACTTTTATGAATCCATCACATTAGCCCCTCTACTAATGAAAGCGTCGTTTAAACACATTTACTAAGCAAAAACGATCAATATGGCCAGATTCACCGGGTAGTAACCTTCCTAACCGGTTAATGGAAGGTTAACTTTTTCTACCATTTATTTTTCCCTTTTTGTTCTTTAGTTTCTCCTTATTTTTCTTCATTCTTTCTGAGTTTCTCCTACTTTCTCATCAACTCCCAAGTCCTAACCCTCCTCCGTCTTCTATTCTAGCGGCACATTCCTACAATTTTTTCATCAATCTCTCTATATAATATTTGGACTGCCCGAGGACAGACATTTTTCAATTTTCTTAAAAAAACAATGGGTTTGCATTTCCCAGAACTCATCAGATTCCCACAGTTCACTCCGATTACTCTGTAATCTATATACAATGGCGTTATTTCTGTTTTCCTCCAGTCTGGTTAATTTAAATAGACGGGAAGGAGATGCTGAAGATCTGTTGCTCTTCCACTCCTAAACTTCAGGGGGGGGACCGGATGGAGACCAACGCAGGTAATCCTCCAAAGCACATCCATGGCCGGCCGGCCGGAGACAGGGAATCCACTGGCGCTTCTTTGTTTGGGTTGCCGTGGATGGGTTTGGACTTGGGAGATCTGCAAGAGGACGATCGATGGTGCGGAAAGGTTCTCCTTCATTGGTGCAGTAATCGACGGGAGCAGTTTTCGGCCTTCGAAAATGGTGGAGAATTGACTTAGAAATTGTACCCTTCCAATTTACAAAAAAATGGGTTAAAAGAAGAAGGAACGGAACAATCCGAAGAAGAAACAAAAAAACCAAGAAGCTGATAAGCATAAGTGACAAAGAGGTGTGGACTTGTGTGTGGTTCGAATAAGGGAGTGGATCAAAAACAAAGGAAAAAAAGAGAAAATAACCAAAAGTAAAGAACCTGGTTCTAACCTAGTAACCTGCTGTAGAAGGTCATCTTCCTCTAAATTGACTAAATTGACTGTTTTTAAAAGTAAATGGATTTATATGATGTTTTTTAGTACATGAGCTTATGTTTATTTTGAACTTATTATGTTTTTTTTAACTCACATATAATTCAATTTTCTTCCTATTATTTTTTTTTTTTGAATTTTCAATACTTTTAAGTATTTTAAATTCAAAATATTTTTTTGTATCTTACTTGAATTCTTATTATTTAATATTAGTCAATTTTTCCAAAAAAATCTATACGCAATATTTTGAGATTGAATAAGCAGTTAGGGGGGTAAGGTGTGGTAAATTATACCGTATGACCGTGTACGGTGAGCAACGTATACCGGTATACAGATTTTTTTTCCTTTTGTTTTTAAAAAATGGTAATAACTTTTTTATTTTTGATCCGATTTTATAAAATTTATATCAACATTTTTTATTTTTCATGATCTTTCAAATGAGACCAATATTGCTTATGTAATTTTAAGAAATTATCGAACTATTAAATTAATGAGTATTGGATTATTAGGAAAATCGAACTAAATTTAATACAGAAAAATAATTGTGTAAATCACAATTTATCTTAAAATTGCGTATATAAAAAATTTATTTTATTATGTATTTATACATGTGAGTTACATATTTTTATACGTAAAGTTACATATTTGTACACGTAAAGTTACATATTTATACACACGAGTTGCATTTGGTCTGTCTGAACGCGAGTTACATATTTTTACACGTAAAGTTACATATTTTTACACGTAAAGTTACATATTTTTACACGTAGAGTTACATATTTATACACACGCGTTGCATTTGGCCTGACTGGACGTGAGCTACATATTTCTACACGTAAAATTACATATTTTACATAGGTTACTATAATAGTTCGATAATATGTTAAAATTACATAAGCAATATTGGTCTTATTTGAAAGATAATGAAAAATAAAAAATGTTGATATAAATTTTATAAAAATCAAATCAAAAATAAAAAAGTTATTACCATTTTTTTTAAAAAGAGAAGTAAAAAATAATATCAACCGTACGACCATACAGGTGCTCACCGGTCATACAGGGTGCTCACCGGTCATACGGTATAGCAACCGTAACGAAGCATTCGGTCTGTCCTTTGTAGTTTATACTAGTAGTAATTTTATATTCAGTCATTTCATTAACCTATTATCAAACACTTTGCATAAATCAAACTCCGTATCAGGTGCCCACATCTAATCGTAGCTTCAGTTGCAGCAATGGAGCATTCAATCTGTCATTGCCGAATTCTATACTCTCCCTCTCCACATTCGTTCCCCCCCTCTCGCCTCCTACCCAAAAAGCTTACATTCCTGAACACTCTGATCATCGATCCAAAAAATCCATTGCATAAACGACAACTGGGGTCCGCACGACTCCGAAGTCTCTCGGCTTCGCTAATGGACTCTCACAGTCCTCTTCATTCACTCGATAGTGTCTCACCCTCAGTATCGTCCATATTTACGGCCGGTAAAACATCTTCCTTTTACAGATTTCTATGTCGATATCTGATTGGCGTAACTTATGCCCAAACTTCTGATTCCTTAGGTCGAATTGGAGAGGTGAATAGGGTAACGAAAGAGACTAACGTGTTTGTGAAGATAAACTTGGACGGAACGGGTGTGGCTGAAAACTGCACTGGAATTCCATTTCTTGACCATATGTTGGATGTGAGTCTTTCTGTTGGTTGTTAGCTCTTTTTCATGCTCAAAATTTTTAAATTTAATTAGAAAAGAAGTTCACTTGTCTGGGCATCTTTCTTAAGCTCTCGATGTTGTGCTTGATTATTTATTGGTTCGTAGTGTGTCTGTTTTTTTTTGGTTTATTTCATCTCTCAATAGTATGTAACAAGCACACAGAGTTATTTGGTCTTTTGGTTGATTATTCTTTATTCTCAAAGCTTGAACTTGTGCCTAGGAATGACATCTCTTAGGAATGACATCTCTCATTGAGAAGAGAATTACTCATTGTGAAAAGAAAAAGGGAAATACCAATATGTAGCACACTATCAAAATGACTTGCTTCAGTTAACTAGAGTTTGTAGTTCTTTTGAAATTAGGCGTGCCTTTTCACATTCTTCATCTAATAAAACTGGGCGTCTTAAGTCCCTTAACTTTTTTGGTACACGTGCTTTTTAAGTATCAGGGGTATCTCAAGTCCCTGTTCTTATAAAACTTATTGGCATTTTTATTATTCTTTTTAGGATGTTTTTACTTGGACTGTTTTCAGTCTCAAACCAGATCAGATCAGACCAGACCAGCAAATTTCAGTCCAAGTAAAAACATCCTTAATCAATTTCAATATCATTATCAAGAATATTCATTGATATTTCTAGAAAATTGAAATACTGATATTTTCAACCTCAGTTGAGTCTACTGGTTTATATCATCAAGAATGCTCATCACTGCACTATTTCATTTTTGTATTTCAAATGTACTGCGATTTTATTTGTGGTGTGGATTCTTGTTGTTTATAGCAACTTGCATCACATGGGTTGTTGGACATGCATGTGAAGGCCAAGGGGGACATTCACATAGATGATCATCACACAAATGAAGACATTGGGTTGGCTATTGGAACAGTAATATTATCTACACGCATTTGCTCTATTCACATATATTCATAGTTCATTATAAAAAGCCTACCTTTATATGCTTCTATTTGTTAAAATCCAGGCTTTGTTGGAAGCACTTGGAGATAGAAAAGGAATCAACCGATTTGGTGACTTCTCAGCTCCTCTGGATGAATCATTGATACATGTAGCCTTGGTACATCCAAATATATAATGGTCGTAAAACATCGATAGGAATCAGAGATCCTATATCATTTTAATTTGAAGAATAACATGGAGTAGTGAAGTAAATTTTTATGTGTTCTGTCATATTTATTGTTAAATTTCAATGCAGGATTTATCTGGACGACCACATTTAAGTTATGATTTACAAATACCTACCCAGAGAGTGGGAACATATGATACTCAGGTAGCTTATATAGCATTTGCTTGCTGAGTTGAATACGGCCATTAAAAATAGTTTTTATGTTTAGTTTCACCTTGTAAATATAAAAGAATCAAATTTATTAGAATTCAATATTACATACTTTACTTGTACTTTGTTTTTTGTCTTAATTAATGTAGTACATATATGTGCCTAACATGAATGTAATATATATCTATTGATTTATTGAGCCCCCCCCCCCCCCCCCCCATCCAGATTCTCCCTCTATTATTCTTTCTGTTGTCTTTACCGGGCAGCTACTGGGTTGAAATAGGACCCTAATAAATGGATACATAATGGGTTACTAACATGAATATGGGATTTCCTAGCTGGTAGAACACTTCTTCCAGTCCGTGGTCAACACTTCTGGAATGACACTTCATATACGACAGGTAGTTAAATGCATTTGCTTGTGATCCTCTTAGGTTCTGTTGCATTTTGTTTCGATTTATAGTGATTGATAAGTTAAATTTAATTGGAAGCAGCTAGCTGGAAAAAATTCTCATCACATTATTGAAGCCACCTTTAAGGCTTTTGCAAGAGCCCTTAGACAAGCAACTGAGTATGACTTGCGTCGTCATGGAAGTGTACCGAGGTCCCTCTCATTCTCTCTTCCCTAATATATAATACGTAGTAATATTTTTAACTTTTAAGTTTTAAAGTGTATTGAGATTACTGTTTTTAAAATTAAGATTTTATTAAAGTGAAAATATCAAGTAGTCCGAACTCCAGAATATCCGCGTTGCAAAAGTGATCTTTTAAATAAGCATTAAAGTATGTTTTTTACCGTGGAACTATATTTTCCTACTTTCCTGCCAAATTACGTCTTTTTTAAGTAAATGTACTTTTCATCTTCTGAAAGACTTCATTTAGTGAGTCATCCTAAATGCGCTTTCAGCTAGTTATGGTTTTGCTTCTAATTGAACTTCCTTCTCGACTGTAGCTGATGATTAGTACAGTTCCCTTTGGTAAAAGTTCTTCCAATTAGATGTTCTTTACATAATAATGCATGCCTATCTCTGGTTATTTTATGGTTATTATGATTGATATTCACTCATTAGTTGTTTTTCACTATGCAGCTCAAAGGGGGTTCTTTCACGTGCTTAAAGTGTTTAAATTTGATGGAATGTGGATGCCCTAGACTACCTCAGGTTAATTTTACTACATTTTTTTAGTCAAAATTGTTGTTTGCTAGTTTATTATGCGATTTTTGTCCTGATTGGGAGGAACCAAATCTTGTGTTTTGCAGTATTTATCAAAGGACTACCACTGTTATATAAAGAATATGATGGTGTTGCTGTGTGCCATCCTCTTCAACAACAGATAGATGGCACTGTAGTTTTTTAGAACATTAGAGCCTTGTGATGTAATTTGCCAAGAGGATAATCATTGTATCATAAGGAATTATTAGTTTTTCCCAATAAAGTAATTTATGCCCCTTTAACAACCTTCCACTGCCCTTTTTTTTCCTTTAAGTATTTTATTTTCCTTTAACAACCTTCCATTGCCCTTTTAGTTGTGAGTTTACTAAGATTTACTTGCTAGTTTGGGGTTGTATTTTTAGCTAGGAATTATTAGTTTTTCCCAATAAATTAATTTATGTTTCTTTAACAACCTTCCACTGCCCTTTTAGTTGTGAGTTTACTAAGATCTACTTGCTAGTTTGGTGTTGTATTTTTTTCAATTTATCAAAAAAAATTATGTTTTTAAGTATTTTATTTTCCTTTAACAACCTTCCATTGCCCTTTTAGTTGTGAGTTTACTAAGATTTACTTGCTAGTTTGGTGTTGTATTTTTAGCTAGGTTGCCCTTTTAATTTTTTTGTTTTACCTAGCAATGCTTCCCATTCAGGGCATCTAAACTTATGGGCCATTTATTTTTCTGGTTAAAATTTGACAACCTCATTACCAAACATAGTTGTGGTCACAATAATTTATAGCATAAAATGATGGGATAAAAATGTACATACCAATATACCATTGAATTATACTGCCTACAACATCTACATGCTACAATTTTTTTTAGAACAGTTGAAACAAAATTTGTAAAATTGGAACAAATATATTCATGGGTATTCAAGGGTATCTTTATTACCACTTCACAACTCAGCACATAGTAAGATCAATCTCAAATTCACCCATAGATGGTCATCCACCTCACGAGTTAAGATGGTGTTTGTCACTGGTCACACCATTCATGAAACTTGTTTTGCTATCGTGTATACAACAATGGAATGAGAAAAAAGTACGTCTTCCCGTGGATTGCTTGTGTGGCATTTCATTTATAGATTCTCTTTTGTTTCTTTTTACAAATCATCCTCTACTTTGATGAGATCATTTAGAATCTCAACTTTAACATGCTACGGAAGTGGTGCAATGAGCCTACCTCCGAGTAGAAGTTGGCTAATGCTCTTATTGTTTTCTCTGGCATCTCATATGATTCCTGCAGTTTCAACATATTATATTGCAAAAGGATCAAACATGTTGATTTGAAATTGACCCAAAAATACACATACCTTTAAACGTCTAAAGTTGGATTATAAGAAGTTACTCCTCATGAAAATGGAAGGAAGATCTACATTTTTACCTCATTAACCACAATTTTCTCTCCTCTCCACCCACCCAAGTACGCACGAATCGACTCCTTCGCTGCATCAGTTGTTCTCCTAAACTTGGTCATGTCATTGGGATCCTCCTTGAGCGATTCCCGCAATGTCTTAATCACTTCTCTAACTGATTTCAAGTAATCCTTGGGTAAGACTTTCCCTGATTTGGTTTTCTCATTTGGATCAAACAAGTACTTTAAGGCCCCAATAGCGCCCTCATCATCTTGGGTTGCTCTTGATTGATCTCCAGCCCAAGTTGGTAACAAACCAAATCTTCAATTAAATGAAACAAAAGGGATCATGCTACATCCTAGAAGAAACCGGCGACGAGATTGTACTTCCTCGGCCAACACATCACGACAGCTTCATTTCAATTTATCTGTTGGAACATGAAAAAATGCATTTTTAAAATTATTTATGAATCGTGAGAGAGAATATTATCGGTTGGATGAGAGTATGACTTTGAGGAGGACAGAGCGACATATATTATACGTGTAGAGTATTGCACAAATTTTGTTTGTCTTCCATTTTCTCTATTTATTGTTTTGAACTCAGATATCATATGTTGATCGATTGGGAATCAGGCTTGGTTTTTGTTGTTGTTGTAACTAAATCATCAATAAATATGATGTTTTGCATTTCAACACCAAATAAATAATCAAAGAACCAATTAATTAATTAACCATTATAAACTCAATATTCATTTAAAATTAAAAAGAACATTCTATCTTAGTTTAAAGATAGCTCTAAGAGATGGTATCACACAAGGATGACATATATTATTTGAACAATGGATCCTTAATCCATCTATGCATCCCAACGTATTTATTGCTATTTAATCAAGAAATAGTTGACATAATTAAACTACAGAACAAAATAGGCCTCTCAAAAAAAAATTATCATGAGTTATACGAATATTTGGAGATGTTTGCAAGAGATGTGACATTTTTATCATCCTGAGTTCTGATTTTAGATATTATTATTATAGAAGCATTGGGTTTAACCATATACTTTGTATAAGTTAGAGGATTTTTAATTATGGGAGAAAATCTAAGTCTCTTCATTATTAGTATAAGTTTGTGTTTAATTGAGGTTATTTTGGAGCTTAAAACCTAAGGCGGCATTATGATCTCAATAAGACACTATGGCAATGTGGTATTATGACGACAATGCTTACTTCTATTTAGAGAAAAAATACGCGGGCTTACAATCCTTAATACCCCTCTCTAGGAATTGAACGCATACTTTGGGAGGATGACAATGGTCCAAAATTTGTTAGACAATACTAGCTTTGTTTTTTTTTTTCCTTTTTGTTTGCATTGTTCTCTTTCTTTTCCGATGTACCAAAAAACAATTAGAAAAAAAATGCAGTACTCCTATATAGGAAAATACCCTTTCTCTCTTATTTAGGTAAATTTCTTAGTAACTTAACCTGTTTTGTAAATAGAATAAAAGCTTAAAATAAGCTAATATATGAAAAGCTGTCTCCTATTGACAGCTCTAAATTTTTATTTGTTTCCACATTAACTTATTCTTTTTACAAACTTAACTATATCTGTTCATCTATTATCAATACAACAATGCTTTGTCACGTCTTCTTTACATAAATCAGCTACTTAACAACAAATTTACACACTTCTAATATAAATTTTAGCTTTCAACTTTTAGCTATTTTGCAACTGCTAAGAAGAATATTGGAGCTAAGAGAAGAGTAATTACTTACAGTTAGTGACAACTTTAGACCTATCAACGGAGCTGGAAACATTGACGGTGCTCATCTTCATCTTAACAGGTAAGAAGAAAGCCATCCCTGGATGGACCTCGACTCATGCTATCCCACAAATCATGGGAATGATGTACCTATACACCATGTCACCAACACATAAATTTTTTCACCGGAGCAATTTTTTTAAGAGCACTCTTAGGCTCCATTTGGTGGTAAAGTAAGCAGAACAATAAACTATTGAAAACTGGATGGAATGGAGGTCAAATTGACAATCAAATAACTCTTACCTGACCATCAATCGCACCCTCATTCTTCATTTTAGAAAAATTAGTACTCCTTTTTATATATTTATATCTGTATATGCAACTTGTATAACAATATTCTCTGTTTAAATAGGATATATCACAATATTTTTAGAACGTGGTAATGTTTAAACCCTACTAGTTTAAGCAAATTAGGTAATTATGTACCCCATAATAGTGATAAACATTATGAGTGAGGAATTGTTTAACACAATCCCCACTTCCACCTTTCTCGATAAACATTGATTAAAATGCTAAATATTAGATAGAGAAAACAAAATCAAAGAAGAATAAAAGAAACAACATTCAAGCTCCAAATCCTCCAATAAATAATCAATTAGGAACTTGGGTTGGAAGTAATGGACAGACTAAAGAACTATTTTTTTGCTTCAAATTCGGTGATTATAGAAAGAGTTTAAGAACCCAATATCCAATACTCCGTAATTCGATGAACTGTGTTGTTTTTTACATAAAATAAAATTGGATAAAGTAATGATCAATTTAAGAAGAAGCTGGCTAACCCCAGTCCGTTTCTTCTCGCTTCATCCAACCTTCTGAGTTCTGACCAGACGTTTTAATGTATTACACAATATTGGGCCCGTCCATATGTTATCCACTAGATTCGCAACCGCGCGATGCGCGGGATATTAAAATGTAACAACGATATGATTTTTTGTCAATATTACTTGGTTGTGTGAAATGAATGCAAAGTGTCATAGACGTAACATGCATAATAAATTATAAGCAAAGATCGGATATTGATAACTCAGAGATAGGTAGTAACTTTGTTTTGTAATGAGTAGGAAAAACGAGATGTTATAAAAGAGCATGTCTCCGTATCTTCATCGCAAATGAATATTTGCAGTGCGATAACCTACACATTGCGAAAAACTTCCTTATGATTTGTTAACATTATTGGTTAGTACGTAGATTAATGCCCGAAGAACATAGATGTAATACATGTAAAAATAATAATTAATGAAAAGATAGTTACGTCTCATAATTGGTACAAAGTATGTTTTGGAATAAAAATGAATAAATAAATATAATAATAATAATGTTTCCACAACATACACATTTTGAAATGCTTTCAAGTAAACAACATTGTACTATGCTCGATGTGTTCATCATCTCCATCTTAATTTTCATTTATCAATTAATCTTTCTTTTAATCATATTTAGGAATTTTTCTCTAAATGATACAGAGTATTATAGTAAAAATATTACGGAGTAATAAATAATATCCTAATAACATTCAACAAAAATAATAATCATAATAATATTATAATTATAACAACAATAACACTAATCATAACATTAATAATCAGAAACATTATACTGTTTTTATTTGGACTTATTTCAGTCTCAATCCATACCAGATCAGTTCAGACCAGACTTCAATAATTGTAGAATACACAGAGACTATACATTTACTACACCAAGTCAGCTCGGACCAAAAAAATTCAGTAGAAATAGAAAAACCTAATAATATAATAACAATCATAGAAAGATAACAATAATTATCATAAAAAAATTATAATCGAACAATATAATTATAATCCTAATTAAATATTAAATATATTTGACACAGTCCAATTCAAATCTAAATTAAAATACCAATATTTTAATAAACTTTATATCAGTCCAGCCCAATACTGTATCTAAAATCTAACCCAGTTCAGCAACTTAAACCTAACACGCCCTATCTAAACTCTACTCTCTCCTTCGGCCGCCTCATTCATCCGTACATCGAGCACCTCTCAAGCCCATCGTGTGTTCTTCCGCTGACCATCGTCCGTGTGGTATTCCGGCTGAGGTAAAACCAAAGAATCTCAAACCACTTCTACCACCGTTTCGTGATTTTGGTTTATCCCTTGCATCCACTCGTCTTATTGTGATTTTCTTTATCAGTTTGTCTATGCATACACTCGTTATTGTGATTAGTTACATGTATAGTTGCATATGATTTGGCCATAAATTGCATGTTTAACAGATTTATATTGTATCTGTATTTTATAGCAACAAATTACCTCTTTCATAGATTCATTTACATGGCTAAACCTATGCCAATTTGTGAAAATGATGTATACATATTTGTGTTTTTAAATGCCAACATTTGTGAAATTCTGGATTTAACCTAGCCGCTATCGATTTTGTGATATAGGATCTCTTCGTTTAAATCCTAGATAAAACATGACATTGTATTTTGGATACACCTATGCAGATTTTTTAATTGGTTAAATTGGTCTGTGATGCGTGAAATATATAACTATTACATATGTTTCAAACGGATTAATTTAAAACTTACTTCATCCATAGTTTTTGTTAGTAAATATATATTTTTAAAAGGTCACTATAACAGTTTATTTAAGAAAAAAAAGCAGTAAATTGAACTTTCCAAAAGTTTGTAAATTGACATTTAAATGACCAATTGACATTTAAATTTCCAAAAGTTTGACAACCAAAAGTTTCTATACCAAAAGTTTTTACTTAAAATAATATAAGTTGAAAATGACATTTAACTTTCTAGATTAGAGCAATAGCTTGTAAATTGAACTGCCTAAACTACTTAAAGCATAATACCAAAGCTTTTATTCAAGAAAATGTGTGAAACCTTGTACTTTATTGAAAACCTGTGAGTCTGCTCTTGAAACCTTTGGTTATTGCTAAGTATAGATGAACCTTATTAAAACAACATGAAGTTCTATTTGCATAATTTTCAAAGAGTTTTAAGCATATATTATACCTCTTAATCATTGAAAATAGCTTCTAGTGTATCCCCTCTCCTAAAATGTGGTTGAACTTCAAAGACTAGTACAACTCCCACTTTTATTTCCGAAGCAATGTTGCTCTGGATGTCTAACTGATTAAGTTGTATGTATATATACTACCAATTTGAACTGCTCTGAATATCAATGTTCATTTACCCTCGTATATTAAAGTTCAGTTCGGTAGTACCTACATACGTACTATACTATCGTATAATATAATGTGTATTTTATTTAAATGGTTTGAATACATGGACACTTTCTATGAAAACAATTTTACTACGACTTCAACACCTCTTTTTTTTTTTTTAAACTGATTAATCATGTTTTCTTGAGACTGTAATTTCTTCGTGTTAAATTGAAGTGCTTCAATACTTGAAATAATATTTAGGAAGCCTAAATTCTGAAAATTGTTTGAAAGATTCAGTTTTGTTCAAATGCAATTCATTAGAAAATGAAATTTATATGAATCAACAAGACAAATTACTTTTTTACATCATTTTTATAACTTCTTAAGAATTAACAAAACAAATCACTTTTTAAGGATTTTATCTTCGATATTTATACCTTCTGATTTTACTTCTATGTTCAATTTAAATTCATTTGAACATATTTTGTAAGTACATAAATATTAACATTTTTATGATGGATCATTTTTTTTTTGAACTTATGATGGATCATTTTTTTTTGAACTTATGATGGATCAAATGCTATAATAAGTTTATTATGTTTTATATATAAAATATAAAATACCTTAGACCCGTAGTGATTAGAAAAATGTTGTCTGATCTTTTTAAAAATTATAACTTTGTATCTTTTTAAAAGGGTGATTTATATGTTTCTGTAAAATTTTCTGTAAAAGCAATTTAAAAGTGTAGCACATATTACCTATTCCAACGTACTTTATTTTAAAATACGAAAGGGTCTTTAGACACAAAATATAATTATGAGATGCATTTTAACATGATATTATCTCTTATGTTGCAGGTCTAATCCAAAAGGATTGATTATCTTTGGACCTGAGTAAGGTACCCAAATGTGTATTATTCATAAATGAAATGTAATTATTAATTAGTTAAGATTAGGGATTGCAGGTATTTTCTATTGCATGCTCAAATTCTCGGGTATGATCTTCATCCCCTAAACTTTTAAGTCACACTTTTTGCATTTAACTACAATCAAAGGCAGATTGTTTACAAAATAAATTGTCCACTGTTCAATGTTTAAACTAAGTCTTTCAATTTCTCGTAATAAGCAATCTAAATGTTAACTGAATCTGTTTTGCTTTCTTTTTGGTAAAAAATAAATCTGTTTTCAAAACATGCCTTATCTGACTTTAAAACAACATGTCCTATGTACCTTAATGTGTTTATTATTAATGTTTGGACATTCAAGTATGGTTGTTGGTCTGCTACACTCAAAATATTTGTTTTGAAACCCTAATGATGTATACAACTGTATACCAAAACAGACTTAATTTTACCTTTCAGGTTACCTTTTGTTGTTGGCATTGCTTTCTGGGTGTCTGAGAAACACACTTTCCCAGAATTGTGCCAATGATATCTGTGTTTATCAAACTGTTAGAAAGAATAGGAAATCTGAGATAAACACTACTAAACAAAAATGAATTTCTATTAGCACAATTATTTATGAGTTTAAATCATATGATTTTTACCTCATCATCATTGGATACTACTTCTAGGGTCTCACCCTCCTGCCATTATCTGTGATTGTTAACCAAAGATGAACTCCTAAAATTACATGAAATCTTATTCACACAATTTCCAGAAAAAGTTTTAAGCACTCCACATATCTTGTCATCATGCCAAATAATTGTAGTGTATCCCCTCTCCTGAAATGCAGTCAAACCTCAAAGCCCATGCAACTCTCACTCTCAATGTCAATGTTATAATGTGTTATTCTGGATGCCTAACTGATTATGTTGGCTGTATATATATACTATACAACTTTGAACTACTCTCAATATGTATGATAAATTACCCAATGGGCAATAGCATGCAATTTCTTTTAATTTGAATAGACATCTCCCACTGCCCAATAAATTTGTCCTTGAGAATCTGAATAAAGTATTTTTGCCTTGTTATAGGCAACCAACTTTAATTAGAACAGCTCAAAGGCGGTAACTATGATTATACAAAGGACAATAAATGTGTGATATCTGGATAATAAGTGTGTATTACATGCTCCTGCAGCAGCATGCATTCATCATTAATTTTGCATTAAATCAATTGTACTTTTTATTGAGCCTCACACATTGCTTTCTTGATATTGGGTATTACATTAAATGCAGTACTATTTTGGGACTCAAAACCTGGAAAACTTAAAAACCTGACCCGACCCACTGCAGACCCAACCCGACCCATGAGTGTGATGTTTTTGAGCAGAAACATTGTTCACAGATTACTGTTTGTGGTTATTGCAGACATTTTCCTCCTGCTATTGTATAATACTCCGTAGAAGATAGAAGATAGTTTTGGGACGCAAAACAGTTTTTAAAAAAGAATGAGGGTACTTTAGACTTTTTCAAAATGGTGTTTCTCCTAATAAAAACCCATCTTCTTTCCCAACCCATTTAAAACCTAGCAGACTCCCAGCGGCCGTTCCGGAGAGAGAGACGGACAGGAGAGGGTTAAAGCAACGCTGCAGCCATGGTTAGTTCCACGGCAATTTCCGGTGAACTGTGTCTAGTAGAACTCTCTCACCAGCTCTTTAATGATTCCATTGATGTTTCTTTGTGATTTTGCAGAGTCTGGTAGCGAATGAAGATTTCCAGCACATTTTGCGTATCCTCAACACCAACGTTGATGGAAAGCAGAAGATTATGTTCGCTCTCACTTCCATCAAAGGTATCGGCCGCCGATTTGCTAACATCTGCTGCAAGAAAGCTGACATCGACATGAACAAAAGGTCCATCTTTCTTACATCATTCAGCATTTTGAACCTTTGTTTTGATGATGTTTTTTCAATCATCATTTCTTTCATGTTTATATACCCGCTAGGAAGTTACATTGTCGATCACAAACGTATTAGTTTGATTTTCAAATCGGAATATATAGAATTTTTTTATCGAAAAATGCATTCCTACCTCGTAGTGATGAATTTCGGTTAGCTTAACGCATTTATCTCTTTTTTGTATTTTTTTTGTGATTCTCCGTGTTGAATCACTTTGCTGCATTAACTCATGGTATCCTTGTTCTTGTATTCAACAACGAAAGTTCACATTTTAGCGGTCTTTAGCATCTTGATTTAGTTAGATGGACCTAATTCGGTTGTTCTGTACTGTAAATAGATAGACTTATTGGTGTCTATTATTTAAGGTTAATTACATGGTTTAGCAAATCAAGTTTCTGAGTGTTGCCTGAATGTATTAATCATATATGGCTGTCTACAGGGCTGGAGAGCTGTCTTCTGCTGAGATTGAAAACCTAATGACAGTTGTTGCGAACCCCCGTCAGTTCAAGATCCCAGACTGGTTCCTTAACAGGCAGAAGGATTACAAGGATGGTAACTATTCACAGGTTGTATCCAATGCTTTGGATATGAAACTCAGGGATGATCTTGAGAGATTGAAGAAAATCAGGTAATGATTTCTTACCCCAATTATTTACAATAGTAGTTCTATTACGATGGTTAATGAACTTTAAAACTGTGGCTTCCGATGTGAGATTCTGCACATTGAACTTGTTTTCTCAATGTTGTGAAATTAATGAGTAATGCAATTGAGATGTTAACAGATAGATTGCGAAAAACTTTTATGTTCCATTTAACCCCTATGCAACCCCTATGCTAACAGTGTCTCTCACTTTTTTTTATTCACTCCAATACCTTGTCATTTTTTCTGAAGTACAGTATATTTATAAAATTTTATTTTCGAGATTTCTAACTGAGATTCAATGGGTTAACAGATCTGATATAGATTTTGTTCAATCCATTATTAGTGAAGTATTATTGTTAGTTAGTCTGAACATATAGATCATGTACAACTCATTTCTTTAGTACATCTCTATCACCATTTTGCTTTCACTATCTTAGCTGGTAAGGTCTTCCTAAAGTATCTGACTTGCTGTTCATGTAAAATTAAATAATAGGAACCATCGTGGTCTGCGACACTACTGGGGTCTTCGTGTACGTGGACAGCACACTAAGACTACTGGACGCAGGGGAAAGACCGTTGGTGTCTCCAAGAAGCGTTAAGAGATTTTGATTTTACACCCCCACCTGTTCTCATTGAATTATGTTCTGTTTATTTTTCAAATTTTGGTTAAATATACAATGAATGGTGTGGTTTTAGCACTTGGAGTTCCTGTTTCCTAAGCATGTGAGCCTTTAGGCTTTAGGGTTTTCAATCAAAGTTCCTAAGCATGACAGCCTTTTGCTTCATCTTTATTCCTAATTTGCTCAAGTTCTTGATGAGTTTTTTAAGAACTTCTAAAATCTAAACCCCATGTTTGTGGGTTTAATGCCGCCTTTGGTAATTTGGACTCTTTACCTTCAAATTTTGTTATCTTTTATTGTTGGTAGGTATGATGTGGTTGTAGAATAATGGATCAGGCAGTAAACCTGAAGTCCTGAACTTGCCTTCATCCCCTTCTTTTCTAAATTTGGAAATTTGTAACCGAGTTTTTAACACCAATGTGCAATATTTGCATTGGACATTTGGACCTAAGGTTGGGTTTGAGAAACTGAAAACAGAATCAAAATAAATCGAATGGCTACAAAATAAAACTGAGCCATTAAAAAATCGAAACCAAATATAAAAATTGAATTGAATTCTAGTTTGGTGCGGTTTAGTTTTAACTTTTAACCCTTCAAAACTGATTGAATAAATTGCATTAATTAAAATATGATATTTTATTTTTTAATTGTTGAACTTTAATCATAATATTTTGGTAGCCTTTGGTTTGATTGTGCTAGAAAATTAATTTGTGATGAATACTTTAGTTAGTTTATAAATGAATTTACACATTCATTATTATCTATATGCTATAATAGTGTAGTTATAATGATCTATTATGTCTTTTATGTTGGTACGTATGTTTCAATTTATTGCATGTAGTCATGGACTCGGCCTCCGGTTTGTGAATAGTGGGTTTGGGATCGGCCCGAGGTACTGGTGGTTCCGGTTCGGGTCGGGCCACCCGCTCGGGTCACGGGTCGGGCCACCCGCTCGGGTCACGGGTCGGGCCACCCGTTGGGTTGGGTCGGGCCTAGGCAAATCTATTTTTTTTTTACTTATTTGTACTTTATAGTTTTATACAAGTATTAAAAACATACTTCAAGTGCATTTATTTGAAATGAAATAGGAACTACATTTGACAATTGAAAAAAAAAATACATGAAATACTAATCAATCGGAATCTCTGACATAGGCAGAGTCATCCTCGGTTGTTGATTCATCCATAAAGTGTTGGGATGAGGTGATTGATAAGCGTTCTATTAACGTGTTTTATACGATCGTTTATAAATGCTTTTATACTTAAAACAATTAAATCTTCACACATATGCCTCGTTGTGCTAGAACTACTTTAAATTGATGATTGGATCAAATACAAGAATGATAGAATACACACGAAGAAACCGACAGAAAAAGGTCAACCAAACGCATCCTAAAGAACAAAAGGAAAGAAGAAAAATGGACAAAAAGGGTGAAAGCCGCCCGGCTTTCACCAATGTCGACCGACTTTTACCCCCAAACCCATTTTCCACGTCCAAAGAGAAGAAAAGGCGTCCGGAGCAAGAAAAGACGAAAGCCGCCCGAATTTCGTAAAAGGCGCCCGTCCTTGGGCGCCGTAGGATTAAAACATTAATTCAAGCCAAAAGTCGCCCGACTTTCGACCCCTGGAGCGGATGAAGATTATTTTAAACGCGCAAAAGCTGCCTGACTTTTGCGAATGTCTCCCGCCTTTCGTCTGGAGCTGATTAAAACAAGCAACGGTCATCACAATCATTCGGAAGAAACTCCAAACCTCATTAAGGAGCTTGCTTCCTTGTCTAAAAATGGTCGTTGAAGACCCAATATTTAAGCATATTGAAGCCCTCTCAAGAGACTATTCTATATTCTACTCACTACACTTCTACTTTGGCATCTCAAGAGCAATCCCTTGGTCTTGGGAGAAGTTCTTCAATTGGGGAAAACATTATCCACCCTGGCTTTGGAGTTGTGGTATCAATTTGTTATGTATTTCATTGTATTTTATCATTTCAATACTTGTAATTTCATTATGAGTTGTTCTAACTAATTTTCCATAGCCAAGGTTAGGGATGAAACTTTACGCACTCTAGGTGTTTGATGTATGTTCTCAATCAAACTATTATGATCTTTCTTTTATATTTTTAATGTGTATGACTATGGTGTACAACATATGATCATATCGTTGGGTTTATTTGAGCAATTGACGTTGAGTTATAAACCGTGCACTTAAAGGTTAGACATATTCTAATTGTGGATAGAAATATATCTCAATTGAATATGGTGGATTTTATAATGTCCTAATCTTCAATGGGGTTAATTTTAGATGAATGTGAACCGTGACGGGATTCCCACGTAGAATTAATCACAATCTCGCTGCCGTAACAGGAGTTAGAATACTTTAGTGACATTCCACTCATAAGAATTGGTGAAAAAACATATATTTATTACTAGGAGTCGTTTAGGAGTAATCCCGAACCCTTGCTTGCTTTTATTATCACTTGAAAACCAAAAATCTCTACTCTTTTACTAAGTCTTTTACAAATTCTTTTCTCAACTTTTGAATCATATAAACAACGTTTCCTCGTGTTCGACCCGGTATTTCTATCGGATTTTATTACTAGATTGGCACTTGTACACTTGCAAGTTTTAGCCGATCAATGATGTCAATTTCTTGAGCTCTACGGGCCGCCTTCAACCAATCGTGATAGCATATAAGCATCTCAAGAGATTATGCGCTCAACCTCGTTCTAGTTTGCGTTAGGACATTGTCGGCCGAACTAAATTCTTGTTCCACGGCAACTATTGAAACCGACATTGATAGCACTTGCTTAGCCATCTTTGCTAAAACCGGGAATATTCTTTCTTTTCCCTTCCACCAGTTTAGAACGTCACAATCATCATCTTCTTCAAAATCATTATCATATCTTAAATACAAAGAAATCTCATTAATCGTGCTTTGTTGAGTAGCGGGAGTTGTTTTAGTTTTTTTAATAAGATTGACAAATGTAGATTTCAAAATTGATTTTCCTTTAGATGAAGATGTTTGTGTCGGAGGAGGTGGCGCATTGCCATATTGTGCATGAAACTCATTAAATAATGCATAAAATATATCATTAACCTCGTTGTATTATTTTTTCGGATCAATTGAGTTCTCGTCATACATTGGCAAAGGACCATATAAAGCTTGATAATAATAATTCAAACATTCTTCTAAAGAACAAAGTCTAAAACGAGGAACGAGAACAAATGCAATATCATAAATATGCGGAATATGTGCATAATATTTTAAAAACTTTTCCTTCATAAAATCAGCAAAATAACTCACATAATTGGCATTCTCAAAAGTTGCAAAAGCACCGGCGAGATTAAGAGCTTCACGAATGATTTGAGGTATGTTTATAAACATGACTAAAAGTTTGAGTTGCATTATAAAAATATACCAAAGCATTACAAATTTTTCGCAGGTGTTGATCTCAGCCAAGTTTATAATATAGTTATCATATTGTTTTAAAAAGGCAGGAAAATGTTGTTTATATCTAAGAAGAACTGTCATTAACTTATAAGTACTATTCCAACGAATAGACTAATCTTTAGAAAAAGCCACATATTTTTCACATCTTTCTATCAAATAATCATGCCCTTTTTTTCTAAGTTGACCACTACCCCAAATACCTTTAATCCCCCCTTCACTAACTCCAAAGAATCTCCTAACGCTTTTAGACCATCTTGCACACATAAATTTATAACATGACATGCACATCGTTGATGAAAAAATCTACCTGATAGATTATATTCTAGAGAGAAGTGAGAGCTAGAGAGAGAAGTGCAAGTAAATGCTTCAATAAATGATTTTCCAACCCCTACAACTACCTCCAGAGGAAGTATTTATAGGAAAAATACGGGCTGGGCTCCCAAGCCTTGAGCTTGGGAGGCTCATTTACAACTGGACCGCTATTGGGCCGAATACAAAGTAAATGATGGAGTATACAAATGAGTAAGTGTAAAATCCGGTTCTGGGAGTTCTTTATGGCCGACGAGGGTCTGGCCGATGAGGGCATGGCTGACGAAGACCCGGCCGACAAGGTCACCCGATTCTTCTGGCTTCCGGATCATGTTCTGGGTTGACTTCGTTCCGGCCGATGAGGGTCATCTGGCCGATGAGGGTCCTACTGGGTGACAATTGTGCCTTCTGTTCTCCTGAGTATGCGGGTCCTGGGGCCTAGACCCATATACTCCATCAGGAGTCCCCCACTCTCTAAGCTGAGATGTAGACGAAGTGAAGGAGAGTAGATTCATGTTCTTTTTATGCTTGGCCGTTGCGTGTCCCCTGTTGTGGACGGGAGAGATCCTATCCATGTGGATGGTACGTGTTCTTTGCTCTCTAGGACGATGAATACCCTTGCTTGATGGGGGGCGGTGAAGGTCCGCAGTTGTGAGTGGCCGATACGTGTCTTTGACATGAGTGGCCGATGAGGACATTCTTACCTTTTCACGATCTTCGATGGCTGAATTTTGTTTTTGGGCCAAGGAGGCCACTCCGGTTGTGTCTTGCTTGAGGACGATGAGCGTCCTTTGCCTTGGGTGGCCGTTGAGGGCGCTGTTCACTCCTTATGGCCGTTGTTGATTGAATTTCGTACTTTTGGCCGAGGAGGCCACCGTGGCTATCTCTCGTTAGAGGACGATGAGCGTCCTTTGTTTTGAGTGGCCGTTGAGGGCGCTGTTCACTCCTTCTGGCCGTCGTTGATCACTTACCGTGCCTTTAGCCGAGGTGGTGTGTGGTGGTTAGTTTGCCCAAGGTCTGGAGGACGATGATGGTCTCTGGGGACGATGAGCGTGTTGCACCTTTGCCCTGGCCAGAGATGGAACTTACAGGGACCTCGAAGCCGATGTGATGCATAGCCGATATGATTACGTTTTCAGTGTAGTGCATTTTTGAATTTTCCTTCTATCTTTGCGTTCTTGAGGCCGGTGTAGTCCCCCAGTCTCCCACTCCTTCAAACCGAAGAGTTTCTGAGGGATGAAGGAGTAGCTTGAAACTTAGGCCGAAGCGGGATCCTCATACTGCCCTTGAATCCAACCCTTTGGCTATTTCCTGACCAAGGAAACCTTGTGGGAGAACCCTTGGACGCAGGTCGCTTTCAAAGGGTTATCATCAAGGGTTTTGTGCGATGGCCGATGGCCGTTGGGTTCCTTTCCCTTGTGGCGTTGTGGCCATTGTAAGGTCTTTCTTTACATAATATGTATGGCCGCTTAAATGGCCGATACGGGTGCTACCTGGGTAGCCGTAGCCTGTGTTGGCCGTTGAATGCCTTGGCCGCTGTGGGTGCTATTTTCCCATTCCTCGCTCCGTAAAGCCTGCTTTGCTGGTGGGCTGTTGATCTGTGGAGTGGG